CCCCAAAACCCCAAAACCCCAAAACCCCTTAAAAGGCAGAGATATTGAAAGATATTATATTATGAAACTATTTGTATTCCTTGGCTTGCTTTCAGTCGCCCTTGGGTTCACTTGGGTCAAGACTAGTAGGGAGTCGGTTAGGTGACTTCAGAGGGAGGATAGGAAGTTGTGTGCCTATGGGCTGAATCCGGAGGCTTGGAGAGTGTGCTGTGATTTTGAAGATGAGTTTGAACTCTGTGGAAATAAGAACGGAGCTATATGTTCAGATGAGTTGGAGAAGCTAGGAGAGAAAGAAGGCTATGCACTCGCGATACCTTCTGAGGAATGTAAAACCACACAGTTCACTGTCAAAGGAAAAGGAGCTGATGCTATATCAATCAACATCAGCTATGTTCCTCCAGATTTGGTTTGCGTTCTACAAGTTAAGAACAGAGGATCTTACTCATCAAGCCTCAGAATCATTGAAGACGAGTATACCAATATTGATGCTTTCGTTTATGAAACAAATTTGCATAATGAGTTCCTTGAGAAGAGAGGTGATTTCAGTTCATCAGAAACCGTCAGCCCTGTCGGCGATCTGAGGGACTTTCACACCTGGTACGACAACACTTCAGTGGTGGTAGTGCTAGCCAAGAACAAGAGCAAGGGCCATGGGGTTTTCAAGGCGTTAATCCATCCCTTGCCAGCCCCTGAGGAAGATATTGAGCATATTCACGATTATGTCAAAGAACAAAGATTTTATAGGACGATGTTCTTCCTTGGACTTGGAGCTTTTATGTTTTTAATTTGTGTTGCTCCTCTTTTGTGCCCAGATGGGAAGAGAAGAAAATCAGAGAGGTTACTTGATAATGCAGAAAAGGTTAGGTATTGTGGTCCAAATAATCGTCAAGTTCAAAATTATATCTTTCCTCAACAACAACTCTTAGAAAAAGTTGATGATGAAATCCAAAAGCCTAATCTAATCGGCACCAACGAACTTGGAGAATGAGGATATAAAATGATATCTCCTCAAACCTAACTCTCAACCACAATATCTGAACAAAATCAAAGGCCAGCTCTCTCCCCTCAAGACCATAAACCCCTTAAATTTTGTTCTTAAGCCTCATTGCCCCTAACCCTACCTCTCTTCCTCCACGTCACCCATAAATCCCATTTAGAACATTTCAATTTCATAACTCCCTTGGGGTTTTGGGGTTTTGGGGTTTTGGGGTTTTGGGGTTTTGGGG